TCAGGGAATTGGGGAGGGGGAACAGCGTTGGGGATTCGAGGAAGGGGAACAGACAGGTAGACAAATTGCTGTTTTGTTCTTCAGTCCAGTTGTGGAGGACGTCGTTTCACTGGCCCATGTTGGTATTATCACTGCGCTCTTCCCAGGTGAGGCAATCGGTCGCTGGTCATTGATCAGCCGCTCACTGCGGCTCACAGCAACTCTCACCGGCTGCTGGCCACTCACGCTGGCTGCCAGCCACTCCTGTAGCTCAGGGCAGCCCACTGCAGCCCCGCTGCAGCCTACGCCATCGCTGGCAACTCACAGCAGCCCAGCTCCAGGTCGAGCTGTTGTTCATCATCTTAGCTGTAGAGGGCGCAGCATCACTGGCCTTTAATGTGGGATCCGAACCGCAGCCCTGCTGCTCAGAGCTGGTGCTCCCAAGCAAGCTCTTAACCAACTGAGCCATTCGGCCAGCCCCAATTCTACCATTTTGATCCAGTGATTGTACTATTGACCCTGTTATCAAGACTAAGGATGGGACAGAAAGTGATGGGATCAAAATGTCCTGCTCTCTCTGTCACCTGTTGCCCAGGATTCTTGAAATAGCATTATTTTCTTTATCGTTGCCTCTTTAGACTTGTTTCTGGGCTGTTCCATTGATCTCATCAGTACCTTCTCAAGGGTAAGGGTGACCTCTAAGTAGGACTGGTGTTTTTCAGCTATAAAACTGCATCCACATTTAACAATAGCTATCATCAGCTGAGCTTTTACTGTGTGCAGACACTATGCTGAGCTGTTTGTATAAAACATCTTAAAAGTCTCACAATTCTGAGGTGCTGGTTACCCCCATTGTACAACAGAGGAAACTGAGGCACAGAGAGAATCAGGGCCTAATGTGCCCAGCTGTTAAGAGGCAGAGTCAGGATTCAAACCCAGGTCGTCTGACTCCAGAGTCTGCATGGTTTCCACACTGTGTTCTCAGTGGCTGCCACCATCTGATTTTCATCTCTATGTCAATCCTAGTAGGCAAGCAGGGTAGAGATGAGCAGCCCTCTTTATGGGTGAGGGAAAAAGGGCCCCAGAGCTCTGTTGACAGTGTTAGTACACAATAAGGTCAAGATTTAGGTAGAAACACCTGACTCCCGAGTCCCAGGGTTTTCCAGCACCCTTGGTAATGCTTCACGTTCGTGGGAAAGCCACCACCTTAGAAAAATGCTCTTTGCACAAAACATTTGTGAAAACAGTGCTATTTTCCCCCAAGCCTTGCCAAGTGGGAGAATACTTCGTTCTTATTTGACGTGTGGCCTGTCTGTTAATTTCTGACTTTATTGTCTTGCCCTTCTTCTTCTTTTCTACTCATGTTTGTTGGTTTATGCCTTTTTGCATTCTCCCTCTCATGTGTGTACACACACACACACACACACACACACACACACACACACACTGAGGAAAGTCTTTTTAACTCGAAGCCTCTCAGGTTCACACACACCCTTCTCCCCTGGCTCACCTACAGGGGACCCCACGCTCAGTCAGCTCCCGGGCACACACACACACACACACACACACACGCACACCCACTGTGCCGCACTCCCCGAGGCCGCGCACCGGGGCCAGGGAGTGGAAGTAATCCTCTGGCACGGCACTAGGATCGTTTTCCTTTTCTTCCGCTGATCCAGCCCTGAGGTCTAGACAGGAAAAGGCACGCAGGGCAGGAAGGAGGGCTCCATGTGAAGGAGACAGGGAAGCAGGGAAAGCCAGCTTTTAAGGGAGAAAGGCGGCCCTGTCTGAATTGTTTGTATCAGAGGAGCCAAGCACAAGCTTAATTAAGTGGCAGGAAAAGTCTTGCTCGGAGCCACCCGGGGAGGAAGTGGTGCTGTCAGGGTCTGCTTAGCCAATCCTTGTCTGGCGTGCGTGCAGACTTCCCCCCATCCAGCCAGCGGGGCCAAGGAGATGCCGGCTCTGCAACCCCTCAGACAGCTCTGGTCCCTGGCCTCGGTCTTAGGAGGTGACTTGCTTCTCAGCGAGACTTTCAGGGACTCTGGGACAGGAGTTCAGGGAGGGACAAAATTCCTATGTCTTTAACCATCATTCGGCCTATTCCTACCACATCATGGCCTCCTCCAGCTCACATTCAAGGGGATGTCAGTGTCTTCCATAAGAAGTTAATTGGTGTTCTAAGAAAAAAAGTATTTCTTCATCAAGCCAAGATACCTGGTTTAAAAAGATAACTGCAGGGCTTTTCAGAGCCTTTAGTTTGCCCAGAGGAATGCCAAAAGAAGTGGTTTTTCAGTCCTATTTGACCAAAGAATTATTTTTCTCAAGGGACACATATTACTTGTGGAATCCAGTATTATAATTGTGGTGTTATGGGGGCACGTGTGGATACAGTGCTTCATGTGTAGTCATGATTCAAGCACCTTTTCTCATGTGGCTGCCTGCCTCCTGTAGGCCCCTGCCTGGCTGCAGCAGTCTAGAGAAGTTGCTGAGCTTTATCTAGGAGACACCCTGAAAGCTTTTCTCCAGAGCCCCATTGACACACACCCTTCTGTTCATGTGGATTAACATTCCTGGCTCCTTGGGCAGGAACAAGTCTACGCCCCAAAGTATAAGGAGAAGGGGAGGAGGCACAGGGAGACAGGAGGGATGGGAGGGGCCTCTCACAGTTTTTGGCCAACAAAATTTATTGAGCACCTACTATAGGACTCCTACCTCTGTGGATGGTGCAAATACAGAACCAAACCCTGCCCTTCTGGAGCTTATGCTGTTCAGTTTATCCCCCTCTCAGAACTGGCACCACATTGCTCACCTACCACAGAAAGTATTATTTTGTTGTTTAGCTGAGACATGTTTGCATTTTAATATGGATACCATAGAAAAGCCTTTAAGAAGCAATGACAGATTCAGAGGGCCAGGGAGGAGCGTGGGAGCCTTCTTGGCACCCTGCATATCATGCCATGTTGGAGCATCTTGCTCACACTTTCCTCACCCCCATGCTCTTGGGTGAGTCAGGATGTTCCGTGGGGTGGTCTCTGCTGAGGCAGAAGAGGGAACAGAGCAGGGGCACAGATCGGGGGCTGTAAGTCAGGGCACTTGTGCCTTACTAACCCCCCAGCTGGGTAGAGATGCCTGGATGCTCTAGTTAATAGGCATGTGCTAATAATATGATAATTAATAATAACTATTACAGCTCTTGGGTTTGGAGCAATTTTCTCATGCCAGAGGCTTTCTAAACATTTCTTCACTTGGCCCTTATTATCACCATTTTACAGATGAGAGAGATTAACTGGCTTAGTAAGCAGCAGAGCTGGGATTTGAACTTAGGTATTTAATGCCCATGATCGTCTCCTGAGCAAGTGTATAATCTCTTGTGGTTCTTATTACTAATACATACTAGTTGTCAAATACTCCCACCTACTATCACCTGCCTGGTTATCCTGGTCATGATGTTTAACTCCAGCAGCCATAGCCACTGCCTCAGGATTCTTTGTACGGAACCTTGGTGTTTGTGAGATGCCCAGAAGAGATCATGGAGACCCTAACTTTGCATTTCTTACTTTAGAATGTATGAACTGACCTGCTACTTACCTCAAGAAAAAGACCTGAAAATTTCTGTCTATGATTACGACACCTTTACCCGTGATGAAAAAGTGGGAGAAACGATTATTGATCTGGAAAACCGATTCCTTTCCCGGTTTGGGTCCCACTGCGGCATACCTGAGCAGTACTGTGTGTAAGTTGCTTCGGCCATAAAGTTAGACAGTTTGCTCCATCTAACATTAATACCTGGGGAAGCTTTGGCTCTCTCTCCTCAGTGCCTGTCTTCATGGAGTCACCGCTCCTTTGAGTCAGATATATACTGGTTTTCATAATAGGATTATTTTAGGGAGACTCAGGCTACATAGCATTGCCCAACTCCAGGGGGCGACATTCACTTTGAAGTCTGTGTAAAACACTGGCCCCTGGAGTAGTGCAGTGCTCTGTGGGGATAGCATAGGGAGCAGAGCTTGGAGAAGCCCATTGTTCTCTACCCAGATTTTTGAGCACTCCCCTCCATGCCAGGGACTGAGGGCTGGCAATATGTGATGGCAGGAATTCCCAGTCCCCCTACCCCAATTGATCAATTTTGTGATGTCCCTCTTTATCTGAGTGCTTTTCTACATTGTCTAATGAGATGTAACTGTGATTGCTAGTTGATGAGTTTGCCTATTATGAGTATGGCTATCTCAGTCACACTCCTCCTTTTTACAGAGGAGGGACATGAGAGGGGTGAAAAGGATTACTTGGCCGAGGCCAAAATAATTGTGCCTTTTAGGTCTCTGAAATGGATTTCTAGGCAAAAGCCAAAGTGTAGAGCACATTCCCAGCCCCCTCATTGCATGGGGGTAAGCAGCAGAGCTTATGTGAGTATGTGAGTATATGTGTATGGCCCCAAGAAGAGCCCATGTGCCCTGCAATAACTCTAGATGTGGGATGTTATTCACAGTTCTGGAGTAAATACCTGGCGTGATCAACTGAGACCCACACAATTGCTTCAAAATGTAGCCAAATTCAAAGGCTTCCCACCACCCATCCTTTCCGAAGATGGAAGTGGAATCAGATACGGAGGACGAGACTACAGTTTGGATGAATTTGGTAAGCATGTTGCCATGGATTGCAAGTCAGTCGCAAAGTATAGTTTGGGGGTACATATAAGTACATAAATCAGTTACAGACCCATTTCTATTACTGGGTTTGCTTTGGGGATGGGGACGTGCAGAGCAGTACCTGAATTATAGCACAGGGGACTCCACACACATGATTATCTAACATAATCCCCATTGTAATAGAGTTTTGCTGTCATATCAAGTGTCAAAGTGGACACATTTTCTTGTCTGATTAAGTTTCACTTGACTTTTTTAGGTCATAGTCATTCGAGCCTTGAACACAAAGTTATAGTAATTAATTTCCAGGTAATGCAAAAGTGCTCAGATGATGATGCAATAATTTCTCTTCCAAGTTCATTTCATCATTCTTCTAGCCCTTCTAAGATTCAGGGATACTTGGGGTTGGTTTGAAGAATCTGCTAAGTTCACATCTGGCTCACATCCAACCTTGAGGTCTTGCTTTTTCCCAAGCAGTAATTTATAATACAACCTGTCCTGACACATAAACAACAAGCTGCACTATGACAAAGACTGAAATAAGCTTAATAGAGCATAAGAGCTATGGGATAATTTAGTGTTTTGTAAGGAGGGAGGGCTTCCCAGAGGGGGTGTCAGGAGGACTGGCCTTGAGAGGTCATGGGATATCCAGAGAAAGCTGAGCAGACACACAGGAGTAAAAGTGCTTTCTGATCCTCAACTGTTTATTCTTGACATTGTAAGAAACTGTATTTTGTTTTTCCATTTGAAGAAGACTTAGTCAATATCAGGGATGATTAGATGTTTAAAAAATGTTGATGCTGCTGTTAACATGAGAACTTGCAAAAGGGATGGGGAATAAACTGGCAAGCAACATGGCTTCATGGATAAGAGTACCTCCAAATGATACCCCAAAAAGGTGTATTAGTCACAAGGATGCTTCCAGTTACTATTGTTACATAACAAATCACCCCAAAATTTGTTATGCAAACAACCATTTTGTTTTGCTCACAGTTTTGTGGGTTAGGAATTCAAGAAGGGCTCTTCTGGGCAGTTCTCACTAGAGCTACTCATGCAGTTGGTTGCTGTCAGGTGTCATGTAAAGGCTCAATTCAGCTGGATGTCCAGGGTGGCTCAAAGCACATGGCTACCAGTTGATTCTGACTCTTGGCTGGGAGCTCAGCTGGGGCTGGCAACCAGAGCACCTACTCAGGCTTATTCAATAGGGCAATCTCTGGGTACCCAGGCTCCTTACATGGCAGATGGCTTTCCCCAGGGCGAGCACCCTAAGAGGACCAAGCAGAAGCCATGTGGCTTTTTATACTTAGCCTCAAAGTCATACAGCATTCTTTCTTTAGTGGTTGAATATGTCTCCAGACTCAAAGAGGAAATGTAGACCCCCACCTCTCAATGAGAGGAGTGTCAAAGAAAATTTGGGAGCTATGTTTTTTAAATGCCACAGTGATGCTAGCCGCTATAACAGTTGAACTTACAAATTTCAGTGGCTTAACACAATAGAAGTTTATTTCTCATAAATTCAAAACAGGTATTCCCACAGGTCAGTGGCCCTCTTTCAAGCAGTGGACTCAGGCCATTCCATCTTACAGCCTAACCATTCGTGAGTTCAGGCGTCAAGGTTGCTATTTTCTTCTGTATCCTAAAGATATAGGATCCTACATGAAAGGGCTTTATGTGCCAGGTCTAGAAGTTACACACATGTCACTTCCAACTGCGTTACATTGTAGCCTAGCCTGGTCATACAGCCACCCCTAACTGCAAGGGAGTCTAGCAAACAGAATCTGGCTGTGAGCCTCTGCCACAAAGTAAACAGGGGCTGCTCTCACACATTCTGGTGTGTTCTGGTCCCTTTGCTATTGGCTGCCACAAGTCAGGTGTGAGACTGGTTGGGGTAGGACTCTGGTCAGGAGCTACTTCTATCAATGACTCCTTGACAAGTCGAAGTTTGCATACTGGCACTGCCTGACCATTTTGCAAAGTTTGGGATGAAGTGCCGAAAGCCCCTCAGGCCATCCCGGTTTCAAGGCTACTTTCCATTCCAGAAGCCAACAAAATCCTGCACCAGCACCTCGGGGCCCCTGATGAGCGTCTTGCCCTTCACATCCTCAGGACTCAGGGGCTGGTCCCTGAACATGTGGAAACAAGGACTTTGCACAGCACCTTCCAGCCCAACATCTCCCAGGTAAAGGGCCTCCCTACCTTTGAAGACCCATCATCCACCCTCCAAATGCAGTGGCAACAGCTGACATGGACTTGCCTCTTTTATTTCTTTTGGATACTTTTAAATACAAAGGAAATAGCAATGGAACTCAGATTAGCTTCACCCCAAAGGGAAATATATTGTAAGAATTTTCATGTTACTCACTAAATCCAGACAGGAGAATGGCTGAGAACAAACTTGTCTCGTCTGTTTCTCTCTCTGAGTCTACTTTGGTCTGTACTCTTCCTGTGGTACCTTCCCATGCATAAGAATATTGTGGACCATCTCTGAGTTTTTTGGGTTGTAATGTAGTCCCATCTACTTCCAAATGTGGAAAGGATGGGTTGCCCCAACTTGTGCTCAACTGTCCATCACTGGGCCACTTGGCTATAGCCAGGAGGGCAGGGCCTGGGAAAGTAACTGCACTTGGCCCAGCTTGGATGAAGTGGTGCCATCTGACCAAAAAGCCAGGGAAAAAGCAGGGCCACAGTGCACATGACGGCTCATCACAGACACCATGTGGAGAGTGGTGAGGATGGTTCATTTCCAGGAGCTAGGGAGCAGTTGCCAGAGAAGCAAGGAGAGACATGGCAAACAACAAAATGATCCACGTGGAAGCTTGTTATAATGAAGACTGCCTGGCTATGACTGCAGAGATTCAGATTCAGTAGGTCTGGGGTAGGGCCAGGAATCTGAATTTTAACAAGTACCTGGGAGGGTTCTGATGGAACTGGCTAGGAAATTCCACATTAAGAAATATTAATCTAATGAACGCAAATCTTGTTGACATAGACAGCAGAATTGAACATGCTTGTCTCTAAAAAGTGACCACAAGTGACCTGGCTTACTAGATGATTTTGTCATGCGCTTCTTGCTTTTAGTCTGTTCCACACTTTCATTTCTCCTCTTATTTTTCTTCCTTCCTCTAGAGAGCCCATTCCTCCTCCTCTCTCTCCCACCCCTCAATTGAATAAAGTCTCAAGAAATTACAATGCGAGGAAGATTTCTCCCTGGGAATCCACCAACACACACCACCACTACCACCCCGCCCCCCATCACCTCTACCTACCGCGTTTGACAGACTGTGACTGGGTCTTAGGAGACACCTGGATGCCTAATGTCCTGTAGTGGGCTTGATGTATTATAGAACCTTGAGCCCTAGAGATTAGTTGGAAGAGAGTCAGGATCACAGTAAAATATATCCCTTTTCAAGAGCTCCAGTTAATTCATTTTGCTCACAATGCATTAAGAAGCCAGTCTAGTGGTTTCCTTGGCAACCTTCTTAAAAACCAGTCTGTTTTTGTCATGAAGGCAGATTCTACAGAACATTCAGAAACAGTTTGGGGAATTTAAATTAGTTCATATGGTTGATATAGTTTGTTAATGGCATTCCTCGTCTGTCTGGAAGAACATTCCAGTCAGATAGATGGGCCTGGTCTGCAGCAGTCAAAGAGCTGAGCGGGGCCTCACTAAGATGGCGGGACAAGTGTCAGTCAGGCTGTCACCCTCCCCCTTCCTGAAAGCCTCCTCCTAGGTTGCGGGCACTAGTGGGCCAATGTCAGGGAGTCCTCAACTTTGGGAACAGTAGTGTTCTTGCCGTTGTATGAGCCTCTCCTTTGAAAGTGCCATGTTGTAAGTCTTTGTTTTACAAAATTAAATACCATTTTACATTCTTTTTATTTCCTTTCTTGAGGTAAGTGGAGAAAGCTTTGGGTGTCACAAAACTGGGACTGCTATCAAGCACATAATATGATGACAAATAGGGTGACAGCTTGAGAACTGTTCTGAGAGTGAAGGGCCCAACTTTAAGTCATTGTAAGAGGGTGTGCGTGTGTTGGAGATTGTGCTAGCAATGGGAAGCCCTTCATTTTATTAACCAAGGAAGACTCAGACTATGATACAGGTGGGCACATGCAGAGACTCCTGGGCGAGAGCGGAGAGTGGGTGGCCTAAAGGACATGGAAGATACAAGATTCATCCTGCTTTGCTCTTCTACTCTTTTTTTTTTTTTGCCTTCTATATGGACTAATACATTAGCAGGCCCAAACAAATAGTTTCACCTAGAAAATAGGAACAAAAATTGTAGTCTCTACCACCTATAATATAACTTCATTTCTCTTTTCATTTTCAAATGGCTTAGGGAAAACTTCAGATGTGGGTGGATGTCTTCCCCAAGACTTTGGGGCCACCAGGCCCTCCTTTCAACATCACACCCCGGAAAGCCAAGAAGTAAGTAATCTTGAGACCCTGTTATAGTGGACTGGGGTCTTGTGCAGGACCAAAGAAAAGCATTTTCAAAATGTGCTTTTTTCAGATTCTACCTGCGTGTGATCATCTGGAATACCAAGGATGTTATCTTGGACGAGAAAAGCATCACAGGAGAGGAAATGAGCGACATCTATGTCAAAGGGTAAGGCTAGCATGCAAGCATCTTTGAGAAACTTGGAATGAAACAGACTTTCTCATCAGTTTTCAATATTGAAGGTGTGCACTATAGGATCCTTGGTTATTAGAAGCTATTTTGTCTCATTAATGCAATCTGCTTAGGAAGCTCCGGGGACAGGCTGAGAGCAGAAAGAAAAGAGAAACTTGTATGGATCTTGTTCATGAGCAGAGGCATCTAATGACTATAAGAACTGATAAATATTTCTTTTTTTAAAGATTTTTATTGGGGAATTGAGGGAAGGGGAACAGATACGTTGCTATCCTTTTGTTCTTCAGTCTACTTGTGGAGGACGTTGCTTCACTGGCCCAAGTTGGCACCATCATTGCGCTCTTCCCAGGTGAGGCAGATCAGTCACAGGGTTCTGGACGGCCTCTCACACTGGCTTCTGGCTACACACAGTAGCCCATGGCAACCCACCTGCCGTCGCTGGTGACTCACGGCAGCCCAGCTCCAGGTTGAGCTGTTGTTAAGCATCTTAGCTGTAGAGGGCAGTGTCACTGGCCCTCATATGTGGGATCCGAACCGGGGTCCTCTGGTGTCCCAAGCCAACTCTTAACCATTGCGCCACTCAGCCAGCCCTGATGAATATTTCTTCATTTCTCTTTTAAGAAAGTGGGTTTAGTTGAGTTTAGTGAGCCGATTTGTTATTTCTGAGACTTAGTCATGCAGTTCATTTATATTACTTTTTGATATCATGAATAACTAGCTTTAGAAACACAAGGAAAGCTTCCAAAATTTCATTTTCTATATATTTTATTACCAGCAGCTAATGTCCATCGAAAAGAGGAAACATCAGCAGATTTTTTTTTTAAGTCATTGATTCCACCAACCTTTACTGAATACCTGTGCCAAGCCTAGAAAGTGGCATAGTTTTTCATTATCCTGTTACTGGCATAATTCAATTCCAAATAGTTCACGTGGATGTTTTTTTTGTGTTATGCCATGGTCATAGATGTTGAGTACAGAACAGCATAATGACTAAGAAGCCAGACTGTAGGGTCACACTAACTGGGTCAAAACCCTGGTACTTTCCCTACTAGCTGGACAAGTTAGTCAGCTCACTCACTGTTCCTCGTGTGTAAAATGGAGGTGATGAGAATACCCACTGCTTGGGGATGTTCAGAAGATTGAGTTACTCAAAGCATTTAGGATAGTGCCTGGCAGATAGTAAACAGTATGTGTATAGTCAGGGTTCTACAGAGAAAAAGAACAGGCAGTAGTAGTAGTAGTAGTAATAGTAGTAATAGTAGTTTACAGAGAGAAAGAAAAAAAACAGAGAGAGAGAGAGAGATTTATTACGAGGAATTGGCTCACTATAATTCTGAGAAGCCCCATGATCAGCCATCTGTAAAGCTAGAGACCCCGGGAAAGCCAACAGTGTAATTCAGTCTGAACTCAAAGGCCTGAGAACCAGGGGAGTCGATGGTATAAATCCCAGTCTGAGGTTAGGAGATGAGATGAGATGTTCCAGATCAATCAATGAGGCAGAAAAAGGGGTGAATTCCTTTTTGAGGCCCTCAACAGATTGGAAGATGCACACTCACATTGGGAAAGGCAATCTACTTCCCTGAGTCTACTGATTCAAATTCTAATTTTATCCAGAAACACCCCAAAATAACGTTTACTCTGGGTACCCTATGGCTAGTCACATTGACACATAAAATGAACCATCGCACAATGTGAGTGTTAGCTAGTATTATTACTATTCCACATAGACTAAGTTAGATTTCTTAATATGTAAAAGATAAAACTTATTGGAATTTAATACGTTCATAAGGTTAGAACCAAGTTTCACGTATGATCCCAATTGGCCTTCAATCAAAACTGTTAAAGACATAATTACTGTCATTTAGGTTCACGGTAAACAGGGAATGTTTCATCAAGTTCATTATTCTTTCTCATTTCAGAATCTTATTACCATTCCTCAAGGAAAACTAATCCCAGCTAATTAGATATATGCAAATTTATTTGACTATCACAGCCATTTTTTTTTCAAGTGAGGGAAACAAACTGAAGTAATACTGGATTGAGAGAAAACTCCTCTAATCAAAGAATAAAGTACAACCTAAAGTACCATGTCCTATTTGGAATTAAAATCTATTATATTTCCCCATGTATAAGATGCACCCTTTTTCAAAAAATGTGGGGTCTAAAAACTGGGTGCATCTTATACAGTGGTTGTAGATTTTTTTTAACTTGCATTTCCCACTTTTTTTAGCACTTGTTTTTGTGCTCATACAACCACTGTATAAGATGCACCCAGTTTTTAGACCCCACATTTTTCGAAAAGGGTGCGTCTTATACATGGGGAGATACGGTAAGTACTATGTGTGAAAAGATACATAATGCATAAATAACATACCTAGTACTAGGCACATATGGGTATCACATACAAAGTTATACACATGTGTACACAAAATACATACACTTAGTTAACTTTATTGAAATTAAAATGTGAAAAGATTCACATTTAAAATTAAATGTAAGAGGGGAAAAAAAGGGGAAGGGAAGAAGGGCTGCAGGGGTGAGCAGTCTGGGGGAAGGTGGTGGTGACATTTGGGGATGGGTCAGGAGGCGAAGTCACTGAGGTCCTCGCCATAGAGTATGGACTCTTTGATGAGTTCGTTTAAAAGCTTAAAAGTTGGGCCGGCCGAGTGGCGCGATGGTTAAGAACTTGCTTGGGATGCCAGAGGGCCCCGGTTCGGATCCCACATATGAGGGCCAGTGACACTGCCCTCCACAGCTAAGA